ATATTTTATCATATTTTGTTATATTTTATCATATTTTAATATATTTTATCTATTTTATCCTAATTTCGGTTTTATTTTCAATTTTCAATCTTTAAGAAACTCAATCGAAACCGAACCAAAATATATTCGGTTAATATCAAAACCAAAAACCATTGAAACCGAACTAAATTCATTTTTTTGGTTCGGTTTTTGGGTAAACCATCGGTTCAGTTGAAAAATGCCCAGCCCTAGCTCTTAGAGTGAAAAATACCTTGAATCTGTAATGTTTTCATTTATTTTTAGTAAAGTTTAGGACTAATTACTATTGAAATTTAAATAGTTCATGGACTTAACTGAAATTAATCTTCTTCTTTTTTTTTGAGTCACGTCAAGAGAAACTAACGGCACCTGCTTGACTTATCTGCTATATTAATGGAGATAAACGGTAGCCGTTACATACAAGGGGCTAATTTACTATCGCGCAGTTTAGGAGGTTATCTGCTTAAAAGTTATCTTAGGGGACTACACAAATATACGGGAGAAGCTTAAGGGGCTTAACAATCGATTCTGCTTATATACACCTCTTTAGATCGACTTATTCTCCGACACTTAGCAGCTTCTAAGAAACACTGGTGCGTTGCATATATTTCTCTTCACTCTGCACGCTCTCTCACTCACCCTGCATTTGGCTCGAACACCATCAATTCACAGAGGCTCATATATTCTGAGGTCAAAGGTAGTTACGTATTTGAGTTCATTCTTGATCTATTGATTGTTTCCGTTTATTTTTCTTTAATTTTATCAGTAAATAAATATTTTTTATTATTTAAGTATGAGACATACCTTAACCCTTCTCATCAAACTTTACATTCCCACAAATCTCCTGCAAGTTTCAACTACAATTTCTCCCGCGGCATAGATAAAGAAATTGAATCCAATAACTTAAAAAGTAAAAGCTAAGCCCTCCGTTTTTTCTTTGATCCAGATAAAAGACTTAATCTCTGCATAAACTCAAACAATCTTTCTTCATTCCACTGATCCCCTCCAAACAAAATATTGTTCCTTTCCAACCAAATAGCCCACAGCACCATACAATAAGGGATCCCAACTCCTTATTTTACAGCATAAATCCAACACGAACTGCAAACATAAATCATTAATTGACTCTGGGCATACAACGGAAACATTCCACCACTTGCAGCATTTCATCCAAAATTTCCAGGAGCACTTACGAGTGGCAAATAAATTAGGCATGTAGCAATGATTTGTTACTTCAAATAGAAGTAACTCGAGTATTTTTAAATAAAATTTTAAGTTTAAATTTTAAATTTAAATTTTGTAAATTGAGAGACATGTTTTATGAGGTTTGACTTGCTCGATCGCAAATGAGTCGAGGCACAATGTTACTTTTAAATATCGAGACTTTAGAGTGTGTTTAGTATGATAGTTAAAATTTAATTAATATCATAAATGAATAACAATGGTAGTTAGGGAATAGTAGATGATAAATAGTAAAACTTGATTGATATAACTGTTTAGTTATATAATGGTTAGAGGTTATAACTAATAAAAATATTTTTAAAAGTAATTAAATGTTTGTTTTAATATTTTTTATTATTAAAATTATTAATTTTATAAAAATATTAATAAGAAAATAAATAAATAAAATAAATTATAGAATTGTAATCATGCACTTATTTTTATTTTTAA